AAGTATGATAAAGAGAGAGATGCACATTGGAGGAAGAAAAAAGGAAATAAAGCTTTCGCATCAGTTGATGTTTGAGAAAGCACCAGCAGAAGAAGAAAGATGGTGTTGGTTTAATTCACCAAAGGACAGAGAGAGGGAGGAATCGTAAGATGACGGGGAAAAATCGGAAGAAAAAACGGACACAAAGCTTCTTCCTGGGGCATATATAAATGACAGCAATGGATGGATAGCGAAATGAATGATTCTGCTCCAGGATACGACAATGGAAGATGATCCATCTAAGGTTTCAGTTTACGAAATCTCAGCGACAGATGACTGTAGGTGACCATCCTTCTTCAAGAATCTTCTCCTCGTGCAACGACAAAAAAATACAGTATAGATCACTCAGTGGAAAATATATACCGTAACATCTGAGATATAAGAATCTGGATGAGTTGAGGTCCCCGGGCACATGGAAGTACATTTGTCTTCTATTGACGAGTCCAGAACTCTGTGAGCTTGCACAATGAGCATGAAAAATTATTCGGAGTCTTCATTTTTATACAGGGACGATTATTGATGTCGACTCGTTTTTAAAGGCTTGAGTTCACAGAGGTAAATGCTCCAGGCTCCATTGAATGGGTTCTCTTCTTCTTCTGGTACAGAGTTCATCAAAAACATAACTTCTTAGAAATGAGTGCCCATTTAATGTCGAATGGCCTGTGAATCTCGAGTGATTCATAGAGAAAGCTACACCCTGATAATATTTTCAAATATCACCATAGATTCAGCTAAAAGTGGTTTTAGAATTTTATCGGTGTGATTATTTTCAAAGAAGTATATGATATTGAGTTCTGTTACGTCTATTAGGTTTAATTACAAAAGAAATGCGTGAAGCTAAAAATCAGGTAAAAAGTTAAAATGACGTAGTTTTGATTAAAGTTTGAGTTTGTTTATCCCAAAAGAGACGCTAGTTCCGAATGGGGTATTAGTCTTGAAGCGGCATTTTGCGTGGTATTACTTTTCAAATTGTTGCCACCAAATATTACCACCCTGTATTATATGAGTACTTAAAGAAATTAAATAATGGAAAATCTGCTTGAACGTGTGAATGTTTATCGCATTGTGAAAAAACGATGGGAGCTAGAGAGCCCGAATTTTGTATTTCGAATTTGTTTTATAATCTATTTCATATTGTATAAAACTTTAATGATTTTTTTTTTATTTAACAAGCTCAATGATTTCTAAATGAGCAGTGGCAACACCGTATGAAAGAAAACATTTTTATCTGCACGTGCGGGATTGTTCGTCGGAAATTGTAAAGATATGCTTTTTTAAATGTTTTAGCTGAAAAGCTAAAAAAAAAAAAAAAAAAAAAGGATTAATATGAGTATAACAGCAGATCGGTAGAATGCGAGCTCAGCGAGAGTTTAAAAAACCTTAACAATCCCTTTTGGGTGAACGTTAAAATATGGAATCTTTCATATTTTATTTATTTATTTATTTTTTATTTTATTTTATTTATTTTTTTTTTCTAAAACTATTACGTTTAAATTTCTGCTATTGGCAAAGTTTACTATTTCCTATATAAAATTTATACAAAGTAGCACAAACATGCAATACTCAATAGACTCAGAATAATCTGTAAGAACTGATAGTAATAAAATAATAACTGAGTAATAGACTTAAATAAATTAATTAAAAATGAAATAAGCATGTTTGCTTTATGAAGTTAAAGCTGGTAAAAAAGAAAATTGTGATTATACTTTTTATCAAAAGAAAAGCCCCCCCCCCCCCCCCCCCCCCCCCCCCCCCCCCCCCCCCCCACCCCCCCCCCCCCCCTTTAATTTTCGTTTCTTAAATATCGTTACGGCCGAGTGTACAATATAAGATTTCTTCACTAGTTTGTGGAGGTGTTTCATAGTGAAATAAACTTGAATTACGCGGGTTTAATTAAGGGCCAAAATTAAAATTTTGTCAACTATCATAATGTTTTTATTTATTTGTGATTGGAAATAAAATCGTGGGGCTTTCAGCAATGGCAGATTTATAAACAAAATTTTCGAAAAGAAATTTAATCAGTATTATACTGTACTTTATTTATATATTATTATACTGAAATTATGTTTATGTCATAATAGACCTCTAGTATATCAAACTTGTATTATTTCAAGTGACATATGAATTTGTATATAATAAATAGTTTATTTTTAGTTCAAAGGGATTTGAATCCCGAAGGACTATTTATTTCGTTTTGGCATTTTGTGTCGGACGGATAAATGTCGGTTCACTTTTCAAACTGTTGCCATAAAATGTTAGAGTCCTGCATTATATTTGAAGAAATTAAATAATGAAAATCTGCATAAATGTATGTTATATTTCTCGTATTGTGATAAAACAACGGTACCTAGAGTCATCGAATTTTGAATAACGTAATCCTCCAACGAATATGAGCATGTGGAAGACCAAATTTTGAAATTTGTTTTATGATCGATTTCCTATTTTTTAAAACTTTGACGAATTTTTGATTAACAAACTCAAGGATTTCAAAGCGAGCAATGGCAACGTTGTGCAGAAAAAACATTTTTATCTCCAGCGCGTGAGTCTCTGTATCGGAAATTCTAAAGATATGCTCGTTTTAAAACTATTTTGCGATATTGCTGTTGCACTGGATCTTATGGTTTAAGTGCGAGGAACATGATATTTAATAAAGAAAGGTAACACACAAAATGTTAAAAAACGCCCCTTTGGACGTAATTTAAAATCTGAAACATTTCAGATTTTTTTTTTTTTTTTTTTTTAGTCCAAAGGGATTTGAATCCCCGAAGGACTATTAGTTTCGTTTTGGCATTTTGCGTCGGACTCGGATAAATGTCGGTTCACTTTTCAAACTGTTGCCATAAAATGTTAGAGTCCTGCATTGTATTTGAAGAAATTAAATAATGAAAAATCTGCATAAACGTATGTACGTGCGTGCTGGAAGGCTAATTTCTAATTTCTTCTGAAAGTCTGATTTGCATTTTAACGTACCTTTCGCAAGTTTGTTTTTTAAAATAGTCAGCTTGCCATAACTATTATTTTTTAATCATTTTCTCTTTTTCTAAGTGATCGAATGCATGTAGGGAAAATTCTGAATACATTTGAAATTAGGTCTTTTGGTTTTAGTTAAATTTTAATGTCTTTTGAAAATTTGATTGAATCTTTTATCAGTTTTTGGTCTCAAATAAATCAAAAGAACGAAACATTATCCGAGACGCATTAACCAACTTTTATGAAACTTTAATTCATTTTCTCCCAATGCGTTCTGAATTGGAGTTTCAGACAAAGGAGATTAATTTGTAGTTTTTATTTCTAATTCCAATTGCTTTTTCTTATTTTAGGCTTTATTCTACTGATGAATTCTTATATTAAGTTTGATTACGTTTAGTTATAATGTTAGATCTTTTATCTACGGTTTCAATTATTAATATTAATAATGAATTGCCTTGTTTTGATTCCAATTAATTTGAATTTTGGACGCTTTGTATTTAATTTGCTTCAGTCTTGTAGCTATAGCGCAAGATAGGTTAAAATTTTTGTTTTTGGCATATTATTTTGTCTTTATAAATTATATACGTATACAATAACAATAGCGAAAACATGGACATTCTATGCCTGAACTTCACAGAACCGGCCTTGCAGGCATATGCGAAAACAGTTCAATTCGTCGCAGGAAACAGTCCCAGAAAAGATAACAAATGTTTGGCATACGCACATATATATATGTGATGTACCAGCTTTTGTCCGGAATAAATAGATTGGTGAAGAATCATAGATGTAGTCGCAACTTAAATTATCAGACTATAAGTTTAAAAAACAGGATCCTTAACGAATTTTTGATTAACAAACTCAACGATTTCAAGGAGAGCAATGACAACATTGTCCAAAAAATATAGTACATGTACACACATATATATATGATGTATCAGCTTTAGTCGTAGTTAAATAATCAGACGATAAGTTTAAAAAAAAGGATCCATTATTTATTCAGGAGAAATAGCAGTTACAAAAATCAGATATCCGGAGGTAAAAAAAAAGAATATAATAACTTTTTGTGTGAAGTTTACTGCCATCGTTACATTAAAAAAAGCCCCCGATATTCCTTGCGAGTCCTTTTATAGCCTCTGGAAAGGCGGAGCTTCCAAGAAATGACGTCAGCCAATCCAGTTCGCTTTAAATATTTCCAGAACATTCTATAACTGTACGTGTAAAGGCGGGAAAAACAACTTGACTACGGGGCTTTGGATTTAAATTCACGTACTTTAAAATAAGAGACCATCGCCATTAAAAATGAAAAGAACATACAGTTAGAATTTTAAGTGCATTCTTGACTATAGAATTTTATTATTACATATATAAATTTTTTTTTTCATTTTCTTATGATGTCCTACTTTTTAATTTCTTTTAATTAAAAAATGTTTTTATAATAAATTTATTCTTTAAGTGCTAAGACTGTAATTTGAGGTTTATTCGACGTTTTTGAATTGCAATGTTGTACAATTATCCGTTTTGTGCTTTAACGAAATTTAACTAAGATAATAAATTTTGATTTTTTTAATATATTAAATCTCACCTCAGATAGTTTTAACATTTTTATTCAAATAATTCAAAATTACCAGTGTTCCTTAACAAAATTCTCAAGTAATTACCTTTCTTATTGTAAAATTAATAATAATCATTGAATATGCATAATGCAGAAAAACTACTTAATTTCGAAGTAAATTATTTTTGTACTTTAAAGAAAATTAGTTAATATTTAATAGAAGAGATGAAAGAAATTTTCTTATGTTTACTCTGTCTAAACGGCTATTTATTTCTAAAATAATTCGTATATTTTTCTTTTTAATCATCGTAAAAGTATTAAAATATAATAAATTATTAGCTTACATTAGCTAATAATTATTGAACTTCAAATTACAAAAATATTTTACTATACATTGTTGCAAAACGAACAAAACTGTAGAAATTAAGATTTTACTTACAATATTTTAAAATATTAAATATTAAATTATCTCCAGGAACTTTCTGTTTTCCAATAACACCATGATTAAATCTTCTTTTTAATCTTTTTCTCGTTTTGCTATCTGTTATATATTTTGACTTTTTACCTGTAAATTAAAAAATACAAATACAACACTAAATTCATTAATGTGTATAAAAAGATTTGTAAGAAAGAAGGAAAAAGCAAAAATTGTTTCAAATTGCTAGGATGAAAATTCTTAAAAATTTATAGATCTTTTTATCTTATTTATTAAATAACCTTAAAACATAGTAACTTGACAAAGATTAAAAAATATCGTTATTATCTCAAAAAAAAATTTCTTTGAAAAGAAAATTTTCAGAGAAAAATTTTTTATGGTCTTAGAAACAAATTATCAACGAAATAAATAGCATTTCTGCTTTTGATAAACAGAAAAGAGAAAGAGAAAAAAAGTAATATGTTAAATCAAAAACACCGCGAAATCAAACAAACAAAAAGAAACATTTTGGTTTAATTAAAACTCGGTAAAAGAAACTCTCCCTAAAAAATATTTTCCGGTAATTAAAAACGATAGAAATAAGAGATTCGAAACAGAATTGCATCAAAAACAAAGTACCAGGAATTAGAAATATTTTTCTGCTATTAAAAGCTCTGCTGTAAATTAAAATTTCCTTTCAAAACATAAACCCAAAAAAAAAAAAAAAAATGAAAGTTTGTAAATGATGATAAAAGTCAGAAAGCGAAAAAAATAAAAAATTAGTAAATAAATAAATTGTACCATTTGGCCCTGGCCTCTTCTTTCATTGTACGATGTATTATTTTGTTGAAAATTTATTCCTGATTAAAACTTCAGAGCGAAAAAATTATAAAAAAGCAACGTAGTTTGTACTCCCTAAGCTCTGATGATGCTACGAAAAAATATATATATATATCTTCCCGCATTTTTCATTACCATTAAACTTCCGAAAAATTTCTTTTTATCTTTTCCTTCAAAACAAAAACCTAAATCTGGCTTTATTTACGGAAGAAAAAAAACTTTTTTTTTTTTTTTTTTTTTTTTTTTTGCCTAGAGCTCGGAGAAGTAAGCATTTTTAATGATGATAATAATAACAAGTCACGAATAAATTAGAACGTAGATTGAAATTTCATAAATATAATCACGAGTTTATGAAATTATCGAATAAAGCGCACTACCTAACATTTTGCTGAGTCAGGTAAAACAGAAGGGGGGGATCTGCGGGTCGCTGTTCCCTCCCTTACCAAATCTTTTGCGGAAACCACCAAAGCATCCAGTGTATTTCCGCAAGATAAATGCCAAAATCATTACAGTGGCACGCAAAAGTGGCAACGGGGGGGGAAGTGAGGGGGGAGGGTGCTCCGTTTAAAATTTATTATGTCTCCGACCAAGCATGTTTCGCGATAAGGGGATGGGTAAAGGGTACAAGGGGAAGGTAGGGGTTTTATTTAAACGAACCGCTGCGGTGTTGTTAAAAGAGAAAAGGGGTTTAGGCTCCCCAAACAGCCATTAAGAACTATTAATCAATGGAATTAGGCTTAATTGATCTCATCCTAACGGTAGTGGCACGATTTCGAACCGGATTAGGGACTTACTGTCTGTGTTGCTATTAGATTGAGAATTTCGCAAAAGGGAAAAGTACATAGCTCTTTCATTGCAACTCGTTGGAGAAGGCCAACATTAAACACATGACTACTTGTGTTACGTTAAAAATAAAAAAATTCCCTATCACAAAAGTTAAATATTTACATAGTTTACTATCATATTTATTTCATGTTATTTTATAGTTTATTATTCTGTGTTAATCGTATTAAAGAATCTTACTGATTTTTTTAATATTTTGAGTAATTTCTGTAGACAGACAAAATAAATTTACTGATATACCCCTGGCAAAGAAATTTCGACCTGAACAGCTTAACTGCTGTGGAAAAACAAATGTATTTGTCTGAAAGTAAACGAACGCATACGGCGAAAATAATTATTACCAGCAGATGTTAGCAGATTTTTTTTCGTCTGCTTTCGCAGATAAACTAATTACTCGGAATAAATTGCTTTACACGTTGTTAACAGCCTTTCTCTGTATTAAGATGTGAGTAATAAAAATATTATTTGGCCTTACTGTTTTAAAATGCGACGTTTTGCACCAGTTAAGCCAACCTCTTTATAACAATTCTTTTATTACAAGACAAGTGCAAAATTTTCAGCTGTCTTTCATTTATAGACACATGCACGTTTCGAGAGCATTTGAGCTACTGCCACATTGTACAAAAAATATTTGAAAAGAGCATATCTTTAGAATTTAAGATAAATAGACTCGCGCGCCGAAGATAAAAATGTTTTATTCCCTACAGTGTTGCCACTGCTCCCTTTGTAATTATTGATATTTTTTAACAACAATTCGTTAATGTTTTACGAAATATAAAACAGACAATAAAACGAATTCCAAATTAGGTCATCTAGGTACCCATGTTCGGGTGGAGGACCATGTTATTCAAAGTTTGATGACTCTATGTATCGTTGTTTTTTCACAGTGCGAAAAGCATTTTCAGATTTTATATTACACATAAAAGGGGCATTTTTTAACATTTTGTGTGTTAACTTTATTTACTAAATATCATGTTCTTCGCACTTAAACCATAAAATTCAATTCAACAGCAGTATCACAAAATAATTTTAAAAGAAATATCTTTAGAATTTCCGATACACTGTCTCGCGCGCTGGAGTTAAAAAAGGTTTCTGCCTCCCCCCGTAACAGTGTTGCCATTACTCGCTTTGAAATCCTTGAGTTTCCTAATCAGAAACTCAAAGATTTTACGAAATATGAAATAAATAATAAAACAAATTCCAAATTTGAGATTCCAGATGCCTATACTGGAGTAGAGACGTACATTATTCAAAATTGGATGGCTCTAGGTACAGTTGTTTATCACAGTGCGAGAAATTTACATACATTTATGCAGATTCTTCACTATTTAATTTCTTTAAATATTATACAGGGCGGTAATGTTTGGTGGCAATAATTTGAAAAGTGAAAAACAACGTTTATAGTGTATATCAACGTAAAATCATGACGTAAAAATAAGGTATATCATAACGTAAAAATAACGTATATCAACGTAAAATGCCAAAACGAAATTAATAGCCCTTCGTGCAAATTGCCTCTTTGGGCTAATACATAATTGTCTGCTAATCAACTTTCATCTATTTGTAACGATATTTTTTACTGAAATGGAAATTGAGACCATTTTCCTATCGAATTGCTTTTGCCTTTTGAAAATCTGTTACTGCGTTTTTCAGTCTTAAACGTTATATCCGGTTTAAAACTGAATATTCCATTACATTCTTTCCAGAACATTGCTATAAACGTATATTTTAACATTTGTGTTATTATAATTAGTGCAAATAGATTTTCTCAAGGCAATACATAGGACTACTGTTCTGCCTTACTTTGGCTTGGGCGCTACTAAGGCCAGAAGTAGTGGTCATTTTCTATGGAGACAGCTAACAGGTGGGCCACCGTTGCCTCCTATGAAGGGACAGACAATTTTGTATCCATGCTTTCTCCGGAACCGTCTAGTATCGCTCCCCTAACCACTATACTGTATGTGCGCCATTCAAAAAATCTCTACTCTGCCAATACCTAAACCGATAAGCTTAGCACCGCTGCCACAAAATTAATTTCAATGTCTTGCGCACGTTTTAGGTCTTAAATTTCAGAACATCTAATTTTACAAGCTCTTCGGAAGTATCTTCGACGAGAAACCTGTTTCGATCACTTATATGCCGTCGTTATACTGCATATTAAATTTTCGTAGCTCCAACATCGATAGAGTTTTCCGCCCCATCGTAATATCAAATAAAAGTAGACCACCCAAAAAGAAAACAGGAACACAAATATATATCATCGAATGAAATATACAAGGCCAGATTTTAATGCCGTCTAGTTCACGAGTTGTGTAGTAGGAACATTAGAATAAAAATGACTCCCCCCCTCCGGAATGGGAGGCAATTGTCAAGCAATTTTATTTCTTATTAATTGTGATTTAAGATGAATTTAGAAAAGTCTGTAACCTCTGCCCTTTCTTTTAGTGCAATTTGCTGTACGAATAACGGGAAATTTATGATTTCATAATTCTATTTAACAACTATAAAATGGTAGTCGACAAAAACAATTTGAACCATTTCATCAGTCGCATTAAGAATTGTTCTCTAAAGCAATTCGTGATGAAAGTGAAAAAGCGAGCATCGAAGTGTTATTTGGTTTTAATCAAGTTTTAACAATACCAGAAACAAATCAAAAATGTTTAAATTAATTTTACTGTAATTTCTCTCTATATAAAAAGAATTGTGTGTTTGTTTGCGATTAACTATACTCATTACTATAGCCTATCGTCACACCAAACTTTCTACAATTCTTTTCTGGGTTCTGAGAAAGGTCGTCGTCCACTTTTTTCAAAAAAAAAAAAAAAAACTAAAATCAGAGATATTAATTAAAAACTCTGAAGACGCTAATTTTCGCACTCATTTTTCCGAGTGGCAACAATCTCGCGCTGGTGATAAATATTTGCTTTATTTCGAGAAGTGTTGCCACTGGTCGCTTTCAAATCGTAGAGTTTATTAATAAAAATTTCTAAGTTTTACAATGAATTAAAACTAACATTGCAAAACATGAAATAAATTATTCCCGATTCCAAAAATTCGTGGGAAGCCATTGCGACAGTTCTCGTCTTTGTACGACTTTAATCAGCCGAGATATTAATTAAAAACTCGGAAAAACATTAATTTTTGCACTATTTTTTTTTTTTTTTTTTTTTTTTTTGAGTGACAACAATCTCGCGCGTTGGAGATAAAAATGCTTAGTGTTGCTACTGCTCGTTTTCAAATCGTAGAGTTCGTTAATCAAAAATTTGTAAGTTTTACAAAATCTATATATATAAAGAAGGAAATGTGTTTGTTTACGTTATTGATTTTTGATCAATTATGATTAATTTTTTGCCACATTCAGTCGTCTAAAAATTGAATAAAGGTAAAATATTGGATGGAATTTGAGCTTTTACGAACATTTCGTTAGAAAGATGAAAATCATTAAAAATGGCGTCCCATTGTTGCTG